TTTCTTTTTATTCCTCTCAGGGACTCTTTGGCAGCACAGCTGGAGATCACTCTGACAAAGGCTGACTCAGAGCAGCTGGCGCGCTCCATCGCTGAGGAGCAGTACTCCGACCTCGAGAAGGAGAAGATAATGAAGGAGCTGGAACTGAAGGAGATGATGGCTCGCCATCGCCAGGAGCTCTCCGAGAAGGACATCACCATCAGCTCTGTGAGTTTTTGAGTTGAAATGAAGATGATCGAGTTGAGGTGAAAGTCTTTGTATCGTTAGACGTTTAAAGGCTGTTGAATAGAATAACTCGCCACAGTCCTGGAAGTATCACGACGTGTAAATGCAGATCTCAAGCCCAATAAATATGCTCTGAAAATAGTGTGAGATTAGGTTGAGTTTATAGTTCCACAAAAGAGCAGATATGAAAGTATTTGCTGTCCATTGCAGCTGGAAGAAGCTAATAGGACCCTGACGAGTGATGTCGCCAATCTGGCCAATGAGAAGGAGGAACTGAACAACAAACTGAAGGAGGCAATAGAGGGTAATTAGAACATTTAAATGTTTATTACAAGAATTATATATTTTGGTCTGGGTACATAATTTATTTATTTTTTGTTCTCTTCAGAAACTGAGAAGTCGAAGGACTGGGAGCAGCAGATAAGCCAGATGAAGCAGGCGTTTGAGAAGCAGCTGCAGTCCGAGAGGACGCTAAAAACCCAGGTCGGTGTTTTTAAAGCAATAACTCACAAGATGAAGAGACAGACTTTCAAGACTAATCCTCCCCTTCATGGGCAAAATTTACATTTTTTTCCCATCATTTTTCCTTAAGTTAAGATTGAATCTTATCCCCATCCGCAGGCCGTCAATAAGCTGGCAGAGATCATGAACAGGAAGGAAGTGCGTGGCGGAGGCAGCCGGCGCGGTAACGACACAGACATGCGGCGAAAGGAGAAGGAGAACAGGAAGCTGCAGCTTGAGCTCAGGTCAGAGAAGGAAAAGCTGAACAGCACCATCATCAAATATCAGAAGGAGATCAACGAAATGCAAGCAGTAAGTGAACAGCTGAGTTTTCTTTCCCCTGCAGTGAAACGACACTCTGCTGCTGTATCCCTGACTACGACACTTACGACATGTTATTTCTTCTCATTTTAATCTATAGCAACTGGCGGATGAGAGCCAGATGCGCATCGAGCTGCAGATGGCTCTGGACAGTAAGGACAGTGACATTGAGCAGCTGAGAAATCTCCTGCAGACGCTCAGTGTTCAGTCGATGGACTCTGCCAGCGTCAGCAGCGGGCCCGAGTTTGATGCTGACGATGCGTACACAGGTAAGAGCTCAGCCACTAAACAAAGAAAGCATTTCTGACAGTTTGCATTCACCACAGCTTTAAGGTTTAAGGTCACTTACAAACATCTTCCTGTACAATGTTTACGTTCACTGGCTACGTCACAAAGTGCACCTGCTCAATTATGCCTTTAATCCTACAATCACAAGGCAACAGCTAAGTGCACTGAGGTATGTAGACACGGTTAAGATGACCTGCTGAAGTTCAAATGGAGCATCGGAAGAAAGGTCATTTGAGTGACTTTGAACGTGGCGTGGTTGTTCCAGGTCTGCGTATTTCAGAAACTGTTGTTCTACTGGACTTTTCCCACACAAACATCTGGAAAAGAGAAAACATGCATTGTTTGTCCCTGTGTGAAAATGCCAGGTCAGAGTAATGGAATAACCCTAATTTCCGAACGTTTCAGAAGAAAGATGCTATAATTCAGCTCAAGTTAAGTACTTTCAATCACAATACAGTCATTTTATTATTAGTGTGTTATGCACAGATTAATGACGATTGGTGAGTTGATCCCTGGCTGCTCCAGCACGCATGCCAAAGCATCTTTTGGCAAGATACTGAACCCTGAGTTGTTCTCGAATACTTTCATCAGAGTGTGAATGTGTGTGGAGGTTGGATACAAATCACTTAGATGTAGAAAAAAGAGAATGGGGGAATGAGGCGTGTTATATAAAGTGCTTAAATGCTCAAGTAGAGCATTTTTATAAAGGTGCATAATGTCTGACTAGAATATTTCACTTTAATGTGATGTGATTTTGTTGGTTTCTTCAAACCAAACCATAATAATCTGAATTCTCTTTCTGCCCTCAGAAATGAGGCTCGAGGGCTGGCTGTCTCTCCCCGTCAGAAACAATACCAAGAAGTTTGGATGGGAGAGAAAGGTAGGACTAAACCAGTGAGACTACTTTGACCCTGCAAAACAGCGCGTGACCTTTTTTCTTACCACCTCTGTCCTGTCAATGCAGTACGTTGTAGTAAGCAGCAAGAAGATTCTTTTCTACAACAGCGAGCAAGACAAAGAGCAGTCCATCCCCAACATGGTGCTCGATATAGAGTGAGTATGACACCCGAAGGCACCTCTGCAAAGAAAACAGCTCAGTTTGTATTAACACGTTCTATGCTTTAAACAGAAAATAACACTCCTTTCTGTCACACAGTAAACTCTTCCATGTGAGACCTGTTACTCAGACAGATGTGTATCGAGCTGACTCCAAAGAAATTCCCAGGATATTCCAGGTCTGCCCTAGCTCTAAAAAATGTTCTATTTCTTTGAGTTGATTGTTTAAAAAGTTGTTGAAGGCTGAAAAAGTTAGATATGTCCTCTTTCTGCTCACCAGATTCTTTACGCCAATGAAGGTGAAAGCAAAAAGGAGCCAGAGTTTCCCGTGGAGCCACATCCCATTGGAGAAAAGTCCAATTACGTCTGCCACAAAGGCCACGAGTTCATTCCCACCCTCTACCACTTCCCCACCAACTGTGAGGCGTGCACAAAGCCACTGTGGAACATGTTCAAGCCGCCGCCTGCTCTGGAGTGCCGGCGCTGCCACATCAAGTGCCACAAGGACCACATGGACAAGAAGGAGGAGATTATCGCCCCCTGTAAAGGTAGGACACTCCTGTTGCTGTGTTTCGATTTCAATTGGTGGGCTTTTTAAATGTTTGTGAATTGAAGTGTTGCTGAACATTTCTCTTCTCTTCTACCACCAGTGAACTACGACATTTCTACAGCCAAGAACCTGCTCCTGCTCGCCGTGTCCCAGGAGGAGCAGCAGAAGTGGGTGAGCCGGTTGGTCAAGAAGATTCCCAAAAAGCCTCCACACCCAGAACAGTTCGCGCGCTCCTCACCGCGGACCTCCATGAAGGTTCAACCCAGCCAGTCCATGAGGAGGCCCAGTCGACAGCTCCCCACCAGCAAGAGCAGGTAAACTAAAAAGCTGATTTTATGTAATAGATGCCTATAGGTGTGATTTTGGATTCATCTATGTTAGCTACGACAGTTAAAGTGGTGTGCAGGAGGTAAACAAATAACAGTTTATGGATCTGCAGGCAAGATTTCTAATGATTTGAGGTACATACAGTGTGAGTGGAGTGACCGATATAATACAGGCTGACTAAAAAGCCTCAAAACTGAAATTTTTGTGTATTTGATTAACATACCAAATCCAGAAAGTTTAATATTTATTTATAGTATTTATATATATATATACATATATATATATTCTGCATTTTGAGTGTTGTGTGTCACAATGATGTAAATTAATATTAGTTTCTCCATAATGGCCTGCTGACTGACCACAAAAAACTATACCTGAGTTAAACTAATTAAATTTCACCTGCAAAGTGATATCTTCAGGCAACTCTTGCTTTAAAATCACTGACTGAAAGTCCCGTTCTGACCACTTATAATAAAGTGCTCTACATCTCATCCACTCTTGTCAAAACAGCACATCATGTGCACAGGCTACAAATGCAACTTCAACAAGCAATCTTAACCCTTTAAAGCCGGTCGGAGCGGGCACGCTCTGTTTTGCTTAACTATTTTTAAATTTAAATTTCTCTAACTGGAAATATATGTTAAAAAAGCAAAAACGATTTTCAATTTTTTTTGTAGTTTATTGCACTTTCCACTTAATGCACTTAATGCATACATATTATTGAAATCTGGGCTATAATGGTTGTATTGATGTATAGCAACTTGAAATGCTCCCAAAAATGGCACTACAACATGTAAAAATATATAATATAAGCTCTGGCGGACTTGGTTCTATGGTAGGTCTTAAAGGGTTAAAAAAGCGACTGATGATCTTGAAGGAGAAAAATTAGCATATTGATTATTCAGCTTTGGTAAGAGCTCTTTTTAAGGTGTATTGAGGTGTTAACCTGTGAAGCTTTGTTCTTTATGTACAATGCGTGTCCTGCAGAAGTTGAGGAACTGTTTTCATAGTCTGTCCTGGTCCAGTCCAGTTCGATGTCTCAGGATTTGCCCTCATACAACCCCACAGAACAGACTTGAGTTGTGCGCAGTAACGATTACACAGCCATGAAAACTAATCTCCCCTTTCAGATTGGAGGACTCCAGTCTCCAGGACTGGCACTGGGCGTTGGATGATATAGATGATGACTGTTCCTCTATACATTTCTGATCACCACATTTGGTAACACTGTGTGTAATGTGTGCTGTGCAGTTCCTGCCATTTAAAAAAACCTTAAAAATGTCTGACCTCAGCCCTCGCAGGTCAAATGGCTTCAAAATAAAGCGAGAAGATTCCAGCAGTACCTGGTACAAATGACAGCTCCTTCCTTCTCCTCCTCCTCCTTGTTCTTCTTTTGACCAGATGTTTCCCTGTAAACATCTCAACTTCTCAGTGTGTGTATGTTTGTTTGTTTTGGGTGTCACTCTGAGGTGGTGCAGGTGGTGAATATACTCTGTATCATGGACCTTGAGCCACGTAGTTTGGGTGGATTTGCTCTTCTAAGAGTTGGGATCACTTGGGCACTGGGTGTTTTGAACTGGACAAAAATAAATTGACACATAAACTCAGGAGAATAAGTTCTCAGGTTTGTCTGAAGTTGCCCTTTCTCACACAACAAGAGATAAGACATGACTTTTTCTCAGCGAGGCTGCACTCGGCTGTGAATCGCTTGAACAATCACTGCTGTATTCCCGCGCAGACTTTAGATTATTTAATGTTGATCTGTCCTCAGACTGTGAATAAAATATGATGACCTGAGAAGCGAAGCCAATCTTGGAACCACATCAGCTAGTCTGCCGATTTGGCCTCTTGGGATTTTGGACAATTTGTTGGGATGTCCGGTTTAGTTAGAAGAAATCCAAGCCAAGATTTTTCATTTCTCATGTTCCAGGCAGTGTCTACAAATGCAGATAAACTGGAATGAACTGAAATTAATTTGGAGCAAACCTCTTTTGCTCTCCACACAGGCTGTGCAGTGGACGACAGTAAGAAACCAAAAGGTTTTCAGGACCAAAATCATGCAGATGCTCGTCATAGAAATTAATTCAGAATTGACTTGCGGTCTGTCTCATGGCCAGCAGAGACAATTACTAAGGCTCACACGAACACCTCAATCAGCACTTTTTTTTTTTGGGTGAACTTATGGATCAAATCAGTGGTTTCATTTATTACAGCATGTTACTCAATTTAGTTAAATATACTGGTTTAGGGTAAGACCATCTTGTGACTGACAGTTCATCACAGGATGAGCGTGGAGTGTCTTCACCCTTAAATCATAAAATGTATAAAGAAAATAATAATTAAAAAAAAAAACAAGATGGCAATGGCTGAAATGTTCTGCTTGGTGGCTATTTCCATCTTTTATATACAGTCTGTGGACATAGGACTTGCTTAAAATCCAAAGTAGGATCATTGTACATCTTGGTAGGACTAATGCATGCTTAGCCAGTTTGTTTACTACAAAGACTTTTAAATCATTTGAGTTTTTTGCTGAGATAAAATAAATGTAGGGTAACGATTAAAAATGCAGCTTCTTACATTCGGTCTGAAAATCAGCCAGGTCCTTGATTTGGTAATTGTATGAAATAATGCCTTCGCTGTTCCATTCAAATCGCAGCCCAATCTTTTAATCTTCCTGACATCTCGCTGCATATTTGCTGAGATTAACTCGCATCTGTTTCTCTCTCTCCCTCCAGTTAACCTTGCCCGGGAGTGTGGTGCATCGACGAGGTGGTGGGAAGAGTTTCTTCCTAAATCAAAGACTATACAAAGCTCCGTTTGCAGATCAGCACACTGGACTGGTTTCTCCACCGCTCACTCCACCCTGTCCCGTTTCAGCCTGCGAGAGTTACCAAGTCTGGCGTTTTCCATTTTTATTCAGCTTGTTTCCAAGCCACTTAGCAAGCTCACCTCAGCATCTGACGGCTTTACAGCAAGCTGGGCGTCTCATAAACATATAACCCAAGTCCTCTCCTGGGTCCTTGGCGAGAGCACTTGTGCAGCTCTTGGATGCTGGAGTAGCTTGTTCGGCTCCCACACAATGGAGGATAGCTCTTATGAGCCCGACCAAGGCTGACAAGAACAGGGGAACACTTACCTTAACAGATCTCTCCAGGACACTGTCTGATTGAAGCAGCCAGCAGGAAACCTCCTCTACACCACCTTTGAGGATTCTCATGGCCAAAAGATTTTAAAAAAAGACAATCTTGTGTTTAACGATTGTGAACAATATGAAGGGTTTAATGGGGGAACACTACACTCAGAAGAGTCTGTATTTTTGTTGGCTTATGGTGTCTGTACTTTCAAACTCTTTAACATCATTGTAGCTTCTTGCTTTTCACAGCTCTGCTTTCAGGTGCGTGTCCATGGGGAATCTTGAATAAGGTACTTAGGAACCAAATGAGCTGTGACTTCACGGAAAGTCATTAAGGCAGCAAATGAAGCCCAGCTTCCTCTCGGATATGAGCAAATAATTCTCCGAGTGCCTCTTATTCAGATTTCTGACTCATGCACACGCTGAATCATGGGTTTGACGTCAAACGACTACAAAGGGAACAGAATCCTGCTTGAAATGGCATTAGATTAAGACATGAAGTCCTCACGATTCCCATAATCTCTGCAAACCTGCACTGTCAGTTCTGAGGGTTAATGTTTACTGAATTCAAAGGGGTGCACCGTTAATGCTTTCTGATCCGAGCTCGGCTCCTTCTGTTGTTTTTGAATGTACATCTGGGCTTCACCAGAGACGACACACAGGCATTGTATTATCCAAGTATACTTGACTGAAGCCGCGCCTTTCATCACAAACTACTCTGAGTGAACTTGCATGCGTTTGCTTTTTCACCCACATGCCTAGTCATTTTTAGTCAGTACCAAAAGTGAAAATGAGGGAAGTTAACCAATAAGAAGCCGAAATAATGAAGGTATCCAATCATATCCTGAACCCATGAGTGGAAATACTGAGCAGCACTATTCCATTGAAGTTTTTTCTAAAAGTGTTTGTCCTTATTTTTGTATTAAAGGAAACCAAACTCTGAGTTTGGGCACATTGTCGTATGTATGTGACTTAGTTAGCAGGTGGAGAGTAAACTGAGTGTGTGTGTGTGTGAGTGTGTATGTGCACTCTCCTTTAACCAAGAAGCATGTTTTATACATATAAATATACACAGTATATATTTTACATGCCATACAGTGCACATTATATTATTTATACAGCCTTGTCCACTTTGTATTTAAGGGCTCTACATCCAGATTGCATGTTTGCTATCAAACAGCTCTATGATAATAACCACTTCAACAATAAAGACATGGATGTGCCTTCTGGTTTTGGATCATTTTTCTGTTTTAAAAATGTTAGACGTTGTCATTCTGCAGAGGTGTACAACCACGGTGAACCAAAAGTGCCAAAATAAAAATGTGCCACAAAAAATATTAAATAGTAAGCAGTTTTGTATAATAAATATAAATTGTGACAAATTGATATTTTTGATTTTATTCCACTGCTTTTTTTTAGGCATATGGAATCCTCCGTATTCTGATATTGAGTCCAACACAAGCTGTCAGTCATACTCAAACTACTGAAACACGAAAGAGAAACACATTAAATAATACCGAAATCTAAAAAAGAAAATTCTTGGCCTTCAGACAATAATTCTGAGTGCTACAGTGACGGACGGGACAGGCAAAAAGAAAATTCTTTGTGGCCGAGCTGCCATTCCCAATCACTTCTGCTTTGTCATGACGCCACTAACTGTGGAAATTTAGTAACAAGGAAATTTCACATCTGGACTTGTTGCACAGGTGGCATCCTGTCAAGGTACCACACCTAGGTACTTGATTTTATACACGTGTAGAAGTGATAGGAACACCTGGATTCAATGATTTGGATGGGTGAGTGAATACTTTTGGCAGTAAGAAACCGTTTTAAATGGCTCTATAAAGTATACACTATTTTTCTTGAAGGATGTGTCAGAGGTCAAATTTGATACTTTAAATCTTTACACAGTACTTTCTATATGTTGCAAAAAATGACCACCGTAATAAGAATCATTTTTTAAAAAAATCATTTTTCTAACAATGAATCACTGAGTTGACCTCGGTGAGTATAGGCCAAATTTCAATGGATTAACATGACACCAGTGACCTGGTTCCTTACATTCTCGTACCATGACAGCTCATCTGTTCTTTCTCTTTTAACCCTGGAGAACCCATGGGGTCAGAGCCGACCCCATGGGTTCTCCAGGGTTAAATGAGACATTGAGTCTTAATGGGACCACCTGCATAAATGAAGGTTAAATCAAATCAAATCTGTCCAAATATTTTTTTTCAGAACTCTGCAGGTTCTTGTAGATGTTATCCCCTAATGTTTACGCTGGCCTTTTGATTAAGTGTCGCTGAGCTGGCAAGTTTGTTCATTTTCCTTGTGTCTCTGGTTTAGTTTGGTGTATCTGGGTAATGATGGCCTCCATTCATATTTTACTGGCGCGCAATATAAATATAAATATAATATATACATATATAAATATATCCCCTGCAAGTTTAACAGTTGCAATCGACTCCAGGTGTTTTATCCCCTTAATCTGTCATGGAATAATGAGGGAACAAGTCTCACCTGGGCATGGAACTGCTCGTTAGCTAGCTGTCCAATTACTTTTGAGCCTCTGAGAGGACCTTGAATACAAATGGCCTGAATACCCAAACAGTCTCTGTAATACTTTTGTTAAACCATATTGATTAAAACTGAAAGTCTGCACTTCAGTCAAATCTTGTTTGATTTGAAATCCACCGTGGTGGTGTCACAATCACAAGATCTGTGTCTTTGTCCAGAAACATGGTGAGTTACAATAAAGCAAATTAAATCACATCAATCTGAGATTGAATTTGTGGCATATTTCATGCAATGTTTTGTTTTGAATTTTGGCAGTGTTGAGCTCCCATACTCAACTTTTTATTTTAAATTAAATGACCTCACTGTAAAAAGGTAGAATTTGGTTTATTGAAACAGTTCAGAAAATAACTTTACATATACAAAAGCTTTTCCAAAACAATTTACCCGGAGTAGGATCGTTTCACGTATACGTGGGGTTTGTGCTGTCGTGTCTAAAAATAGATTTCTTTCACAGACAGTATGGCAAAGCATTGGTCTCTGTTCCTATCGACAGAGTTTTACAAACTGGAATGTTATTCAAACAAATGTGTGGCTTTAACAGGGAAGACAAACTATATAAAAAATCATCTCTCTGCTGATAGAACTCTTGTTACCCGTCAGTTTCATTTTACAGTATTGGTTGTGCCTAAAGTGACCCAGTCGTCTTTGATCTGCAGAATCCACTTAGTCTTTCTTCTTGGAGCTGCTGCCGCGTCTCTGATAGTAGAGCACAGTGAGCAACACCCACAGGTTCAGCAGGGTCATCGCTATGAACCGCACCAGAACTGTGGCAAAGAGAAAAGATGATCAGAAACACGGAAGCTGACAGCGACGTCTCTGAATCACACAAGGACAGCAGAGCTGGAGTTACAAATGGTGACTACTCAGGGATACTCCAGGTAAAAGATGCCTGAAATCCTTTGGAATTATAAGAAACTGCAGGTTTTTGCTGATGTGTAAATTTGTATGACAGTCCTGTTACTGACGTTCATTATTGTAAAGAAGCAGCCCTTTAGACCTGCCAGTTTAATTAATTATGACTGAAAGTTAGCCATTGATACTAACCAGACTCCGGTTCTCCAACAAAATGGAAATAATTGAATCATTTGCATCCTCCTCTGTCACACCAGCCCTCCTCGTGTCCTGCTCCACTACATCCACAAACCTTCCTTTTTCCCTCCTGCCTGGCAGCTCCACATTCAAAATCCTTTGTATAGTACATCCACAATCCCTGCTCTGCACACATCCAAACCATCTCTCTCTGATATTCTCATTTCTAATCCTGTCCATTCTGATCTCTGCCAATGAAAATCTTACCATCTCCAGCTCCACCTCCTGTCTTTTTGCCAGTGCCACCATCTTCAAACCATACATCATAGCAGGTCTCACTAATGCCTTGTAAACCCCCACTTTTACTCTTGCTGAAATATAGAAGTATGATGCATTGATAGATTACTGAACGGGCCCGGGTGGCCTCATCCGCACTAACGTCCCTTTTTGTTCTAAAGCAGTCTAATCTAAACGAATTCGACCGCTAAGTATAAAACAAAGTCACTATTCACTTCCTTGTGGTTTTATTTATTTAGGATATTTCCCAGAGAAGAGCACAAAAAAAATGCTCGTTTGAAATCTACGATGGTTACTTAGAAAACAAATCATTTTCCCTTGAAGTGTTCATTAAAAATTCTGGGATGCAACACCTCCCACAGTCGTTAGTAATTCAGACCGACTTACCCTGCACGTCTCCAGTTGTCACCGTGGTGGTGTAAATCCGAGCTGAAACAAAGAGGAAGCAGAGTTAATGACATCCCTGTTACCCGACAGAGCGTCTGATCATTCATTAATGAAGCGTTGGATTGCTCATTTATTACATTGGGGGCTGAATAAACACTACCATGCATATTCATGAAACGAAAGAGTAGACTTGTTACTTTAGGGAGGGGGATTCATGCGAACTGATAAAAGTGCTTAACAGGATTCAGTTTGACAGCGATAGGACTGCAGTATGAAAAGTAGCAACAGTATCCTTGGCACCTTTTCATGCCGCAGTTTGTTACAATTTTTGATAATCTCACCGTATTTGCTTTTTTTTAGCTGCGTACAGAAACAAGTTTAAGTGATCTACTGAATATGGACTCAGGGCTCAGCTTTAATTTGAGTTAAATTTAAAGTGATTCCAGTTGTTTTCTACCTTTAATTTTAAAATGCAACTCATTGGGTTTTGATTAGGTGATCGACTCGCCTACTATAGAATATTCCACTTCCTTAACTTTCAGATCCCCTCGAGGTGATTTTGCAGTAAGTCTTTGCTGCATTTGTATGAATCTGAGCAGTTTATCCCCATGAACAGCGGTTATTAGGGGTGCAACGATACACAAAATTCACGGTTCGGTTCGATACTTTGGTGTCAGGGTTCGATATTTTTTCGATACAAAAAAAATGTTCATGCTTTTTTAATTTGTCATTTATTAAACTTATAAATATATATTTTAACTCAAAAGTACAGTTTTTAAATTTAATGTTGCTGAAACAACAAAGTAATAAAAAAAATTATCTATCTGATCGAGAAATCACTCATCTTTGGAAAAGAGAGTTTATTACAGAGAAATGGCACTTTCCAAAATAAAAGTTATACTATACGCTTCTTCTGGGCTATATTCTCACACAGACAGCATCGTCAGAAGGAAAGTTGATAAAATATTAAAATTTTGTATTATTCGATACATATGTGTACCAAACCGAAAGCACTGTATCGAACGGTTCAATATCGATATGAGTATTGTTGCACCCCTAGCGGTTATGTAACATTTTTACAGATTTGGATTATGAAACCTCCACATTTCTTTTCACAAGTTGACCTTTATCTATCAAAAGTCTTCTCTTGATGATGACCTTTGTGAAGGGTTTCTTCTTAATCATGGAAAGGATCCTGGGATCATACACCAACATAAACTGTGTACATCCAGGTTGTAGGGCTCACTAGCATGCTCAATTTTCCTCTCAAAACAGCATTCATGTGTTCTTGCTATCTTTTGCTTGTATTTGGCTTCCAAATAAAATTAGCAGCAGATCTTTTAATTCCTAAAGTTATTATAATTTTTGAAGAAATTGCTCAGACTTCTCCACAAAGACTACTGAATTACTTTTTAACACATAACTTGTGTTATGAATGAATGGTAAAATCCTCAAACTTAACCTCAAAGTTTTTATTTTAAACTAAGTTATAATACTACAACTTCAATGTCGTTTGGTACACAGCTAAAAAAATATATTTTTTAAAAACTGTGCCAGTGACCGCTACGGACTTAAATGTATATCTAATTATTGATCTATTAATGCAGGACAGTGGGAAATGCAGCAACAACAAAAAAAACACAGCGAACACTGTTGGCTGGTTAAACTCACCCATACACGTGTAGGTAGCTAGAGCCCAGGAGAGGGCGCTAACCTGCCTGCCGTCCTTTGACCTCCACAGGCATTGCAGCTGGGCAAACTTACTGGCTGCACTAATAAATGTGCACAGGCTCTGAGAGGAGAAGGAGGTCAGATGTCATGTGATAACAAGCTGAACATTGAGCTGAATTTCAAAAAGTTTCAAACACTTTCTGCCGCTTAGGTCAAACTTTAAGAGGAAAGGATGTGGAGGGTTCGCTGCTCTCACCTATTTAAA